CCCCCCCCCCCACAACTCACATTGATCTGTTAACAGAGCAGTGCAAGGAAATTTGAAATATTAGTGTTTTAGGTGATTCCAGCAATGGTGATTGTACATAGTAGTTACTTTCAACTCAGCTATAACTAAAGATTGTTAGCAGTTGTATCCAAGATGGGCGGGCTCAATGAGATACAGTATTTGAAAAGGCTTAACTGACCGAACTTGTCCAAAATAGAGGCATATTAAATAATTGCCAGTAGGTATAGCACAACATGTAAAAATGTGGAATTAAGAAATAATAGATGTTGAGTTTTTAAGAATGAAAAGAAGATAATAAATGTGGGTGCGACTCCCACAAAAGAGAGAAAAAAAGGTATAGCACAAAATGCTTGAATCAATAATAAAAAAGAAACTTGTCGGTTCATTTAAGCCAATTGTAAATACCTCCATGTTTGATGATTGTTTTTTAGGATATGATCCATATAGCTGACACAAAGGTCGCTGCACGCTATGGGGACTTCTTCATTAGACAGATTCATAAGCTGGAGGAGGTGAGTTGCTTATTTATTTATAACTTGTTCAACAAAAGAGGTGTTAAGTCGTTGGTCCCACTTTGCCTTGCATAGCGCTGTGCCTTACCCCACACCTCTTTCCCGACACCTTCCTTCAGGTTTCTTTGCATCTATATCCATACTTCATTTATAAATTTATCCAAGTATTAATGTACTTTTTTATATTTGCAGATGAATCGAGCCTTGAAGAAAAGCGAGTTGTTGTCCATGCATCAGAAGTGAACCAACGAATGAGCGGAATACTAAGCAGTGTCCTTACAATCTTTGAGCTTGCACAGTCTTAATCAACTCATTACACAAATGAATGTCAACCTCATAATAGCATAATATATTGATAAAATTTTAATACCAATGATCATATTTCTATTATTTAATTCCCACTCCTCATTTGTGGAGGTCTTTTGAATGCATTGTCAGTGTCAATATCTGGTAATATAAATCTTCCATTAGATTTGTTATATATGCTGTCAGTCAACAGCCGTTTATACAGCCATTCCAGATGGAATTTCCCATATTTGCTTTTTAATATCCATAAAATGTAAACTAAAATATCTTAGGATTTGCTATAAATTTTAGTTAATTGATGTTAAATTTTACTAAGACATCTACTGTATTTGCGGTTTAGATTCTCAGAGGCAGATTGAGTAACATTAAATATCAAGACTTGTACTAAAGGATCTGCCTTGTCTATTCTGTTTGTCTCATTGAGTGATTATTTGATTATAGAATTTGTAATGAGATGCAGTTACAGAGTTTGTAATATAAAAGTTTTTAATGTAATAGCAGTTAAAGAGATTATAGTGTAATGCAGTTATAGAGTTTATGTATGCAGTTACAGAGTTTGTAGTGCAATGCAGTTACAGAGTTCGTAATATAAAAGTTTGTAATGTAATATAATTAAAGAGATTGTAGTGCAATGCAGTTACAGAGTTTGTAATGTAATGCAGTTAGATTTAAGTATTGTGGACTAACTTGTACAATAACAACCTTCTCTCCAAGGGTTCACCTTATTTCTGAGATACCGGGTAAACCAGTTCCCAGCTGCTCTCATCTGTCCCCAAGAGGGCATGCAAGAATGTTTAAGAGGCTGGAGGGGCAATGTCGGCCACATATGCCTAATTGAATGTTATCATCGTTATTTAAGCTTAAAACTAGGCTTTAAGTGGCATTTATCAACCTGCAGAGGACTCTTGTGATCTTTCGATGTCACGGAAGAAGACACCACTGGAAAACACGGGGTAAAAAAATCGTTCGTTTTAATAATTTAAAACGAATTTTTAATAGGCCAAGAAATCCCCAGCAATCGGACCTCATACTCTTTGATATAACCAAAGAGTATGTGGTATACAATAAAATCAAAGATCTTATAAACACAGGACAGCGTTCTCCGCGATTTACGCGTGCAAATTCTGTAAGAACGTATGAACGGCACCCTCTTGCTAAATTGAAAACTTTTGAGGGAAAACTTGACCACTATGACCATACCGTACACCTCACGACTTTACGTTTACCCGTAACAATTAGAAGCGTCCGATATACAATGCACCCTCTCTTCAGAACATAAGGAACGTACTTGGTAACCCAAACTTTGGCGTAAAATCGCAGAGAACGCCATCTTATGTTTATAAGATCTTTGAATAAAATCAAAGATCTTATAAACACAAGATACCGTTCTCCGCGATTTACGCGTGCAAATTTGGTCCTACTAAATACCACACGCGACCACTCGCGACCACACGGGTGCAAAAATGATAAAAATATTACCACACGAGAGTAGAGAACTACTTAATAATCAATAGAAACCAACTTTTAGTACGGTAATTATCCGAATTCCGTTAAAAATCGATGTATCTTGATTTTGATTTGTTGGTTTTTCCCGTCGTGTCTCGGTAATGTAATGCGTTAATTGTGGACCTGTAACGCATTGACGTGTCCGCTGAAACGCATTCAACCATGACCTTCATGTCTGTGTTTCATATCATCAATCAAAATAGGCCGTGATATACTGCCACGTGAACGGTAATCCTATTCTACATAAAATGAAAATGAGGATTTGAATTGTTATATATTGTTAGATTGATCGTTTATTTTTATTTTCTGTCAAACTCTTATACAGTACGGTATGTTTTTTTTTCTTTTTCAGTGTAGGGCCTACATCAATGGAATAAAGAAGATTGCATTAAT